CCGGAAGGTGGGTGACGTGCGGATCTTCTTTTTGTGACTGTGGACGCCTTTCGACACTGCCTTCTTGGCTTTCGACGCCTTCTCTTTGGCTTCAGCTCTGGGAGGGGCAGGAGCTTCTGTCTTCGCTTTCCACGCCATCTCTGCAGGAAAAAAAACCTCTTTTCTTTATAAAGTTAACCTGAAGTCCCAAGAACTTTCAGGATCTGTCTGGACTCAGGCTCTGGCTCTGTGATCAGGCTTGTGCTCTAGCAGGCAGGAGGCTGTGGATTCAATCTTCAGCACCATAGACGAGGTTTTATTTCCACCCTTTGCTCCTCTGCCTGTCCCCAACCACCATAACCTGGGATGTCAAGAAAGCTGGACTTCAATCTTCCAGAACTTTCCTCAAACCCTCCAGCCTGGAACCTCACAGCCCACATGTCTGTGGTGCTGGGGGCTCTTCCGTCTTCTATTACTAGCCCTAGACTGCTGCTAAGAAGCCCATGATTTTGGACCACAGGCCCTTTGGGGTCCTGAGCTCTGCATGGCTGTGTCCTTGCCTCAGTGAGGGTCGGTGATCTGTCAGTGTTCCATCTTTCCAAACCAGAGGTCACAAGTTGGAAACCCACAGGCTATGCCACCTCACAACCACCTGTCACATAGGCAACTCACAGGCCATGCCCACTTCACATACTTTTCACACTGAAAACTCACAGGCCATGACCACCCTGCAACCATCTGTCCCACTGGAAACCCACAGGCCATTCCCACCCTTTAGGGGACTTTCCTGTTTACACTCAGAAGTCAGCTGAGGCTCTGCAAATCTGAATGTAACTTTTTAGGGTTTTTTGGTCTTTTTGAGATAGGGTCTCCCTGTAGCCCCAGCTGGCCTGGAACTCACTGCCTCCTGAGTGCTGAGATTAAAGACCACACCTGGCATCGAGTGTAAGTTTTTAAAGACGCACTGCACACTACACTGTTTCCCAGGGCTCTTCACTTGCCACATCACATGCCTACCAGTGGCATAAGACAGTTCCAGTCTCCCCTTGTCTCCACTTGCACTGTTCCAGAAATTTTTCTTTTACTGGGATGATGGCCAGCCCCGCAGCACCCAGCTCGTAGGCGCTCAGCTGAGTCATGTGCTTTCCCAACAGTGAGTTCCTAGAAACTAATAGTACCTGCCTCAGAGCGGGGAGGGGCTGGAGCATCAGTGTATTCTCGCGTGATGCCTTTGCACTGTCCAGCATGAGGGTGGCACCAAGGTGGCCGCCCTGCCCTCTTCTTCCACCCCACAGTGCAGCGCCAGGCTCCCCTCCACTGATGGACAGTGCAGTAAAAAATGGATTCCCAGAGTGTCTTCAGTGAGACAATGCATATCCCCAAAGGGCAGTTGTGAACTTTTTTTATTACATGTGTTTACGTGTGTGTGTGTGTGTGTGTGTGTGTGTGTGTTCATGCGTGCATGCATGTTTGTTGCATTCCTTGGGAAATGCTAATGCAGAGTGAACAGTGAGACCCTGTGGTCCAGGATGGTCCAGGGTACCATCATCTTTAACATCCTTGGAGGTGTCTTTGGCCCCTTTGCTGGTCCCTTATTCCATCCCCTGGAAAAGACCCTGGAGTCCACTGTGCTTGATCCATCTCTGAACTTTAGCAATATGGTTGGCACAGTTGATTTGAGTGGCATCTGTTTTCCACCCAGCATGATTAAAAGCATGTGTGCATTCCGTTGTGTCAGCTGCACACAGAGCAAACCCTACAACGTTCCTATCTGACCTCCTCTTACAGAAGACATACACGGTCCCTTGGTCCCTACCCAAGCCCCGGCTGCTTTCAGTAGCAATTGAGGCTTACTCTACCATGCCCGTGGAAATGCAGACTCTGAAAGGATCCTGAGAAAGAGCAGAACTGGAGCGTTTGTCCCACCCACTATAAAGCTACAGCAACCAAACAGGATGGAATTGGAGCTGCAGAGACAAGTCAGTGACACAGAATAGAGCGTCCAGGAATGCACCCAACACTCACAGTCGATTAGTGTCTGCCAAAGATGCCAAGCAATTCAGCGGGGAAAGGACACACATTTAGAGTAGAGCTGGGATGGGGTGTTGCAGATCAAACAGAAGACTTGGGCCCTACCTCAGGCCGCATATAAAGATGAACTTAAATTGGATCTTAGACCTAAATGGAAAAGCAGGTGCTACTAAAGGCATAAAAGAAAACAGTAGGAACTTTTTAAAAACTTTGTTTTTTAAAGGACAAAATTTCGGGTTTTTAAAAATATTTTATTTATTTGTTTGTTTATTTATTTATTTATTGTCTTTTTGAGACAGGGTCTCCCTGTAGCCCCAGCTATCCTAGAACTCACTATGTAGACCAGGCTGGCCTTGAACTCACAAAGATCTGCCTGCCTCTGCCTCCCAAGTGCTGGAATTAAAGGTGTGCGCCACCACGCCCGGCTGTTTATTTTTATTTTTTTATGTGTATTAGTGTATTCCCTGCATGTATGTGAGTGCACCCATGTTGTGTAATGCCTCGGAGGTCAGAAGAAGGCTTCAGATTCCCCTGGGACTGGAGTTAAGGACGGTTCATAGCCACCATGTGGGTGCTGGGGATTGAACCCAGGTCCTCTGCAAGAGCAGTCAGTGCTCTTAACCGCTGAACCATCTCTCCAGCCCCAGTTTCAGCTTCTTAAACTGAAAACACTGCCAGGCATCCCAGTACTCAGGAGGCAGAGGCAGGCAGGTCTATAAGAGATTGAGGCCAGCCTGGTTTACATAGTGAGTTCCAGGCCAGCTAGGGCTGTCTCGAAAAGGAAGGAAGGAAGGAACGAACAAAGGAAGGAGGGAGGGGGGAGGGGGTGGGAGGGAGAGAGAGAGAAGAAGGAAGGAAGGAAAGAAGGAAAGACAGACGTGTGGGAGGGGAAAGGAAGGGAGGGGAGGGGAAGGAAGAAAAGAAAAGAAAAAAAGAAAAGGGACTAGAGAGATGGCTCAGCCGTTAAGAGCATTGGCTGCTTCTGCAGAGGACTGGAATTCGATTCCTAGCACCCACGTAATAGCTAAGAACCGTCCAGTTCCAGGGGATCCAATGACCTCTTCTGGCCTTCACAGGCATTACACAACATGGCAACATGGGTACACTTATATATATGAAGCAATACACTCATGCACGTGAAATTTAAAAATAAAAATATTTTTAAAGAAAAAAGAAATTGAAAGCACAAGCTACAGACTGGGAGGTAATATTTACAATGTGTCTACTAAGGGATTTGTATCCTGAATATATAGAGTTCACCTAACTCAGTAACAAAGAGACAAATCTAACTTTTGAAAAAAGAAGTGAAGGACTTTTTTAATAGGGACTTAAAAAGGGCCTAGCCTAACACACGGACTCAAGTGATCCGTCTTAGCCTCCCAAGTAGGTGGGACTACAGATATGTACCGCCTCACCCAGCAAGGTAAAGACTTGAATAGATACTTCATTAAGGAAAATACATGGATGGTTGGCCATACCCATCATCACTGGTCATTAGAGAAATCACTCAGGTCCACAGTGACAGCCACTGCTACCCATTAGACTGGCAGTGACCAAAAGACTAAAAATAACCCTGGAGAAACTGGAGCCCCAGCAGTGCTGGAAGGGTGGAAAATGGCAGAGCCACTTTGGGAAGCACTTTGAACATTTCTAAGTCACACATGGTTTACCATGTGAGTCCGGCACTCTCCTCCCAGGAATCTGTCAGGTAAGGAAGGAGTGGGCTGGAGCGCTGGCTCAGAATAGGCAGGCAACAAAATGTATTTCAGATAATCAGTTCCTTTAGTAGCACCGGCCACCACAGTGGAAGCTGGGACAGGAACTCCAACAGTCACCCATGAAACAAGGGAATTCCTTATACTTACAGACTTCAGTGGGGCGAGATCTCCAACCATAGCAGCTTAGCGAAGGTACTAGACAGGACATGAGGTGTGGCTGATCCTCTACAGGGGCAGCCTCTGTGGTCTAACAGTGCGTACCTGAAGATAGGGCTGGCAAGGTGGCTCAGCAGGTAATGCCCATGTGGCATTTCACAGGTTGTCCTCTGACCTCCACATTTGCACCATGGAATGTGTATACACACACACTGAATAAATATAATAAAGTTTTTAAAGAAAAATGAAGACATATAGGGTCTCAAAGAGACTCCTGAACATCTATATTCTTAGCACCATTATCAAAATAGCCAAGAGGTAGAAATGACCAAATTTCCATTGTTAGATGAATGAATAAACAAAATGTGGTATATCTATACAGTGGAATATTATTCACCCTTGAAAAGGGAAGGAGATTCTTACACATACCATAACATGCATGAAACATGAAGACATGGGGCTCAGTGAAACAAATCAATCACAAAAAGACAAATACTGTACGATTCCACTTTTATGAAATTCCAGGACTCACTGGATCCATATAGACAAGAATCACAACAGTTGCTAGGAGCTAGGTGAAGATGGGGTTGTTTAATGGGTACAGGGTTCAATTTGTGCAAGATTCTGGAGATGTTCTAGAGTGTTCTAGAGAAGTTCTAGAGATGGATGCTGTGATGGTCACCCAACAACGTGAATGCATTTAATGCTCCTGACTGTACACTTCAAACTGGTTTAAATGGTAACTATTATGTTCCATAATTTTTACCACATTCTTAAAAGTAAATGATTTATAAAAACAAACCAAGTATGGTGGCACACACCTTTAATACCAGCATTGAGGAGGCAAACACAGGTGGATCTCCTTGAGTTTGAGGCTAGCCTGGTCTACACAGCAAGTTCCAGGCCAGCCAGGGCTACATAGTGAGACCCTGTCTCTAAAAAGAGATTAGATAGAAGGAAGATGGATGGATGGATGGACTATTTTCCTCATTTACTAAGGAAACAGGTCAGAAGGATTTGGTACTAGGGTCCCAGGTCGCCCCAGAACACCTGGCCAATGCCCCCTACCTGCTGTTCCCCTCTGTGAGCACTAACCTGTCTCCTGTCCTCCTGCAGGCACGTCAGGACTCTATCAAGGCACCAATGGATTGACCAATGCGGCCGGATTCGGGAGCGTGCACCAGGTAGACATAGCTCTCCAGGTCTCAGTTCTTTCTCTAAGTATTCCTCTTAATGCAAGTTGCACACAGAACCCCTCACACACATAGGCCCCACTGGAAATCTGGACTCTAAGAATCTGGGTTTGGAGATTCCAGGGGCCAGACTGTACAAAAGGCCACTGGAAAGAAATTATGAGACTCCAGGATGTCAGGTCCAGTCTCACCCAAACCTGAGGCACCTCGAGGCTTGTGAATGTGGGTTATGAGTGCAGCATGTATATGCTTTCACCTGACTAGGAGCCTCTGAAGAGAGCAACACATCCTGATGCCCCTGTGCTCCAGAGCCCCTGGTCCAGTGGGGGCTTCATCAATGCTTGCTAAATCAAACCCAGACCCCTGGACAGATAGATGCTGGCTAGTATGGGATTCTCTTGGTTTGCCTTAGAGTCAGTTAAGAATCAATCTGGAAGAGCTGGAGAGATGGCTCATCAGTTAAGAGCACTGGCTGCTCTTCCAGAGGACCCAGGTTCAGTTCCCAACACCCACATGACAGCTAACAACCATCCATAACTCCGTTCCAAGGGATTTGACACCCTCTTCTGACATCTGCAGGCATTGCATGCCACGGGTGCACTTACATACATGCAGGCAATACACTTATACACATAAAATAAAAATAATACATTTAAAAAACTTTTTTTGAGAATTAATCAGGCTGGGTATAGTGGCACTGACCTTTAATCCCAGCACTTGGGAGAGTCAGGTGGATCTCTGTAAATCAAGGCCAGCCTGGTCTACATACAGAGTTCAGGGCAACTGGGGCTACAGGGAGACCCCGCCTCAAAAAAAAAAAAAAGGAATCAATCTGGGAAATACCTGGGTGTGGTATATACCTGTAATCTAGCACTTGAGAGACTGAGGCAGGAGGATCAGGAATCCAAGGTCATCCTCGGTGTGTTCAAGGTCAGCCTGGGCTACATGAGACCTTATCATCAAAAGAAGAATTAACCAGGGCTAGAAAGATGGTTACGAGAGCCACTCTCTTCTAGCTTCTTTGAGCACCACAAACATGTGATATACACTCATAGACATATACACATACACATAAAAGTTTTTAAACAAATTAACTTACCAAGAACTGGACATGTAAGTCAGAAGACTCAAGGCCTGCCAACATGCTCAAGGCCTTAGGTCTGATACCCAGGACTGGAGGGGTGCACGGAGACTTGCTAAAGGGCTGCGTTTATATATACTTCTTATAAACCTAAAATTATTCCAAAACAAAAGGTTAATATGTTTGTAACATATGAGCTGGAAAATACAAAGCCTATTTCATGGATTTTGTGTATTACCAGTGAACTTCATACATAATGCAATACTTGTATCTAAAACAGAACTGTTAAAGGTGCAAATCTTTATTTTAGGTGTCTGCCCATTTTGCTATAAGAACTTGTCTGAAGTTCAGACTCCTCAGAAATTTTGACTTAGTAGAAATGAGCTGGGGCCCAGTGTACAGAACTTTCCATGAGTTTCTTGAGGATGGAACACTGGCTGATGGTGATGGCGGTGATGGTGATGATGACTGTGGTGGTGGTGATGGTTGTTGGTGATGGTGATGATGACGATGATGGTTGATGGTGATGGTGGTGATGATGATGATGACTGTGGTGGTGGTGATGGTTGTTGGTGATGGTGATGATGACGATGATGGTTGATGGTGATGGCGGTGATGGTGATGATGACGATGATGGTTGATGGTGATGGCGGTGATGGTGATGATGACTGTGGTGGTGGTGATGGTTGTTGGTGATGGTGATGATGACGATGATGGTTGATGGTGATGGTGGTGATGGTGATGATGACTGTGGTGGTGGTGGTTGTTGGTGATGGTGATGATGACGATGATGGTTGATGGTGATGGTGGTGATGGTGATGATGACTGTGGTGGTGGTGATGGTTGTTGGTGATGGTGATGATGACGATGATGGTTGATGGTGATGGTTGTTGGTGATGGTGATGATGACGATGATGGTTGATGGTGATGGCGGTGATGGTGATGATGACTGTGGTGGTGGTGATGGTTGTTGGTGATGGTGATGATGACGATGATGGTTGATGGTGATGGTGGTGGTGATGATGATGACAGTCACAGTAGTGATGGTGGTGATGATGGTGGGGAGGAGGGATGGTGATTTGTGACCATGGCCCACATGTTTGAAAACAATGTTGGCCAGGGAAGAGGCGAGGTCTGTCCTGTTAAACTTGATCCAGGCTGATTGGCATCTCCTAACTTGAGTTCCATGATTCCCCATAGAATATTCTGGACCCCCTGATATTAGGCATGGGCTACTCCACTTGGAGCTTGTTGCACAAAATGAGCCTAAATGTTCCCTGTCTCCAGGGAACATGCAGCTTCTCTGGAGTTACTGTGTATGCCAGGCACATTCCAGTGCTGGGGACACAGCAGTGACCAAGAGACTCTGTCCAGGCCACACTCCTTCAGGGTCATCCACTGACCTTCAGCTTCAGCTTCCAGTACTTGAACCCTTGGGCTTGCGGGGTTTTGTACAACCACTGGGTAAAACAGGCAAAAGATGACAGGGAGTGTCCCACCCCACCCCACCCACAGAGCTGCTCTGGAGATGCCCCGGGTCCTCATGTACCCACCCAGCTCCTGCCTCAGGGAGAGGCAAGCCTGGGATGGGGTTCTCACCACCTCAGCCTTCTAGGTGAGGTCAGCCCAGCCTGTTCTATGGCAGCCAGCACAGGGCCTCCTGTCTCCCGTTCCTGGCTGCCCTCCCCTTATGGCCACTCACCTTCCACTACACCACTTGCACTTGACTCTTAGGTCAGATTCCGTTTCTGGGAAAACCAAATGGTGATAATCTTGGTGGTCAGTGTTTATACTGATGGAAGAGAGAGACAGCCTGGGCTGCCTGGGCCCGTCCCACACACCCCTCCTTGCTCAATCCCTGTCTCTTGTTTTTCTCTTGCCAGGATTACCCCTCCTACCCTGGCTTCCCGCAGAGCCAGTACCCCCAGTATTACAGCTCCTCCTACAACCCTCCCTACGTCCCCGCCAGCAGCCTCTGCCCTTCGCCCCTCTCCACGTCCACCTACGTCCTCCAGGAGGCTCCTCACAACGTCCCAAACCAGAGTTCCGAGTCGCTGGCCGGTATGTACAGTCACCTTCACTCTGTCATGCCTGTGGTCTGAGCTCCTGTGTGAAGGAGGGACACGAACATAGGGTCCCTTGTCATGAAGCAGGTTGTCCATCAAATAGATGTTACTCTCCCTCTGTGTGTGTGTGCATGCGTGTGCACGCTTAAGAATAGAAAATTTATGGGCTGGAGAGATGGTACAGTGAAGTGCTTGCCGAAAAAGCATGGGGACCCTGAGTTCCGATCCCACATAGAAGCCAGGTGCGGTGGTGCAGTCTGTAACCCAGTGTTACTCTCTAGGGTCTCGATCAGGTTTGTTTTCCCCACCAATTAAAGAATGAAAAAAGCAGGAAAAATCTCAGCCATGCCAGAAAACAACAAGCAACAAACTTTATTAAAAGTGAAGAAACACACACACACACACACACACACACACACACACACTCACACAGAGAGAAAAGCTCTCAAGTCGAAAGGGGACTCAGAAATCAAAAAAGCCCAAACCCCAGGAGGGCTTGGGTCCTTTCAGGTGTTTTTGCTGGTATGGGCGGGTCCCCCTCCCCTAATTTCAGATTAGTCTACTTAAACAAAGAGAGAGAGCCCATAGGTCACAACTCAAGCTGAATGAGATAGGCCCAGGTCCTTCCTTGGTCTTATCTAAACTAGTTTGGACTGGTCAGCTGGAAAGGGGACCCTGCTGGCCAAATGGGGAGCCCCCAGGCCTTTGTCTTAGACCACGAAGATGACAGAACTGTGCTGTATTTATTACATGTCAGTGGCCCTGTCTGCTTATCAGAGATTGAGTCCCTCATTGGCACTAGGTGGGGTGGAGACAACAGGAGCTCTGGAGCACTCTGGCCAATCAGTGAGCTCTGGGTTCAGTGAGGGGCCTTGTCTCAAAAAACAAGGTGGAGAGTGATTGAAAACATTTAGCATTGACCTCTGACCTCCATATGCACATGCACACAGATGCACATGCACCTGTATGTACATGTACACAAACTGTTACACACACACACACACACACAGAGAAAGGACACCCAGTATCTCACACCAGCTGACTTGCCTCAAGTCCCTTTCCTGAGGGGCCCATGTAAGCTGTGAAGTTTGTGAGCTGTAGTCCAAAAGTACATACCTATGAGGTCTTCTGTCATCACCTGTCTTTGTAGCAAGCATTTATTGAGCACCTACTGTTTTCTAGGCATTTCTTAGTTCGGGAAATTATAAATGAAGGACATTGTAGATTTGATCTTTGTAGACAGTAATCAAATAATCACTTAAATACACATTTGAAAATTGTAATGAGGGGAGCTATAATCCTCACAAGCAAAGGGCTTTGTATCACCCAGTGCCCTCCTTTCCCAGAAAAGAACAACATAGATTAAAGTAACTCATTAGTAATCTCAGCACCAGAATTTGAACCTAGACCAGTTGGGATCTATCATCTGTACCTTAACCACTCACAAGTGTGTACAGACGCCTTCTGGAATCAGCTCTCTCTGAAGGACATTCAGATGTTGTGGCTTTTGGACCTCAAACACTGTGGGACCCTCATACAATCCTTAGGCACCACAGCAACCCTGTATTATGAAGACGTTTTGACTTCAGAAGAGAGAAAATCTGATTTAAGAAATTTTTAAAAAGCACAGGCAGCTGTGACCACCACGTGCAGGGGTTGGCATAGTTCCAGGGGTTTGGAGACAGTGCTGGGCCTCCACCTCCCATCCTCTGGCCCTCTGTTTTCTAGGGTTCATTTCATTCTCAAACAGGCTTCTCCCCAGTGACCAAGATGGTTGGCAGAAACGGAGGACTCCACTCTACCTGCTACTCCACCCCCCAGAGGGGCTTCCTCCTTCCAGATGCTTCCTGCCAGCATTCCATAGAGCTCCTATTGGCCAGTTTAGGTCATGTGCCCATTCTACATCCAGTCTCTGAGCCATGGGTGCATTGCTGAGATGGATCACGACCTGGGTTACATGCCCACATCTGGACCTTGAGTTGGGTCAGCCTCATCCCAAACACTGGACTGGGAGGAAGCGGGGAGGGAGGGCCCCAAGGAAACCCAGAGCTCCATAGCCAGAAGGTGGAGATTTGGGATGAAGAAAAACAAGAGCTAGCTCACCCCTGGCTTGGATCCCATCCCAGCTGTGAGCGAAATCTGGCCTAGCTCTACCTCTGCAATCACAGAACTTGGTTTGGGCACCCTGTGTGGCTAGCTCGCCAACCTGCAGGTTCGTCTGGTTGGTTCACAGACCTGCTGCTGCCCACAGAGCTTCTTTTTCAGACGTTTGGACTCAGCCGTCACCAAAGGGTTTGACAGCAACAAATCAGAATGATCCAATACAAACACACTGAGCTTTGTCTTTCTTCCTCTCTTTTGAGATAAGGTGTCACTCTATAGCCCAGGCTAGTCTCTAACTTGCAATCCTCCTGTCTCACAAGTGTTACCACTGGTTACTCTAGACCAGGTGTTACCAAGACCTCGGTGTCTTGTTTAAAGAACTTAAAAAGTACACACAAATAGCCAGGCAGCAAGGGGTTTTATCCAGATGTGCTACAAGGGAGGGGTGGCCTTGCCGGAGGCAGTGCAAACAGGCAGGTCACTTCAGAGCTTCCTTTTGTGGACTGAGGAGATGGTTGCTTGGGGCCGAGTGTGGGTGCTTTTCTGTTTTGGTTGACAGGCTTGGGTTATGTAAACCCAATATGCATGTTCTTTCCCGTGATGCATTTAGTTTAATCGTGCATATGCCAGATCATGCATAGGCATAAGATGGTAAATAGGGGATTCTCCTAAAAGGTCACTCAAAGGACAGTTTGCCTTACTGAGCATGCACCCCAAACAGTCCAGACTGAATCAGCATCAACCCATTGCTCCTAGTTCCAGGATGTGTTTGGCCATAAACGGGGGAGTTACTGGGAGATTGCTAGTGAGTTGCTAGGGGGGTTTAAGGCAGAGTGACAGGTTTCCTTATTTCCAGAGGGGTGTGTGTGTAGCTCAGTGGGGTCCTGGGTTGCTACACTGTCCTGCAAATGTGTCTCAGTGCACCCAGCACTGAGTTTTGTTGTTTTGTTGTGTTTTGTTTTAGACAGCTTCTCAAGTAGCCTGGGCTGTCTTTGAACTCACTACATAGCCAAGGATGACCTTGAACTCCTCATCCTCCTGTCTCTGCCTCCCGCGTGCTAAGATTATAGGCATGTCCCTCCACACCCAGCACTGAACTTGGTTTTTCTTTTCTGTTAGTGCACTTGGACTTGGTGGAAACTTAGCCAGCCTGAGATCTTGTGGACATTTATGACATTCATGTGTAAATGTTCTGTGGTTAGGAGAGGAACAGTGGGGAGGAGCTGCCCTTTCCTCCTGGGCTTTGGGGTGAGTGCAGGTCCAGATCTGAGTCCAGATCTGCAGGTCCCCTCCTTGGGGAGCACCTCATCCTTGGTGTGGAGAACCTGGCCAAGCATTTTTAAGTCAGCTTTTGAGGAAGTGTCCTGCTTGACTGATTTTAATCATTTGGGTTTCATTCCAAAGTCCTCACCGAATGCGTAGTTCCTATCTAACTCAGCAAATTCACAATTGTTTTCTTTGGAGAAAGAACACGAAGTCTAACAGACTTCTCTTCATGGTCTTGAATTATCTTTGGCCATCCTTCTCTGAGTTTCAACAGAGAAGCAAGGGCTGCTGGGAAATCGGGGGGCGGAGAGCAGCCATGGGCAGAGAAACTTCACAGATGCCTGGTGGATGCACAGTCCGGGTGAACTGGACTCCAAAGTCACCCATCCTGAGAGTCTGGGTTCTGTGGAGGGGTTCTCTCCAGGCCCCATTAGGAGCAATCGCAGGGCTCCTCTTGTCCCATCATTGTCCCCTGTTGTCCATTTGGCCTAAGGTCTAACCGTGAGTGGTTGAGATGGCTTCGCTGTGCAGCTAAGGATTTCACATAAAATCTAATCACTGTCAGCTCTAACTGATGTCCCTTGCCTCTTTTTGTCATCTGTTATAGAAGAAAAGCACGTGAGCACACACACATACATGCGCACACACACGTACATATATGTGCACACTTTTAATATTTTCCATGAAAACTCCACCTATGAAACGGTCTGTAGTTCCCTCGAGTGATGCTTCCCAGCAGTTTGTACTGAGTGACTGTCACGGACAGACCCTGACTCTTCTCCGCATTGCCCAGAGCTGGTCTCCATCACGGTCCTCCCCAGCCTCGCTAAAAGACGTGCTCCTCTGATGGACATCAGCATGTGCAGATGCCAAGAGTGTGCGGAGGATGGTGGAGCAGCTTGCTGGGCACGAAGCAATGGTCTGCACATGGAGAGAGGGCAATGTCTGAACAGCTTTCCAGACTCGGGAGTACAAACACGCTGGTCACTGCTTAAGAGTTTGCTCTTTTCACATGGTGTAGTAAGCTACAAATTACTCAAAAGAAGTTGGAAGATTTCTTTTTAACTTCTTAAATCTCCTCCCTCAGCCAATAAGAGAATTTTTTTAAGCTAAGAAGAGATCTGGAAGTTTCTTCTGTGGAATTGACAACTAGGAAAATTAAGAATGCATGTACCCTTCAACCCAACTATTCTGTGACTTAACAATTTATCCTAAAGACAAACTCCCACATAAATGCAAACACTTAAGAAAAAGAACACTTATTGCAGTAACATCATAGGAAAAGACTTAGAAGCTACATCGACATGCTTAACAGGAACCAAGTTATATAAATGATGATACATCTGCCAGCGGCATACTATGCAGCTCTGAAAAAGAAGGATGTAGATAGGTCTGTCTGATAATAGCCTCTTTGAACTATTAGCATAGCTGAAGAGAAGCAAAAGCCAGTGTTAGAAACTGCATGAGACAATTCAGGCATAGTGCGTCACATCTGCAGTGTCAGCACTCAGAAGGCCAAGGCAGGAGGATTGCCGTGAGCTCAAGGCCAGCCTGAGCGACATAGTTTTCGAACTATGTTTTCTGAGTCAGAGTGAGATTCTGTCTTACTGCCCCCTGCTGGGGGGCGGGGGGGGGACCCAACTATAGGGAAGACAGAGACAGGCAGATCTCTGTGAGTTTGAGGCCAGCCTGAGCTACATAGTGAGACCCTATCTCAAGGGAACTACATGTGAAATGTGCCCCCTGAGTTTTCTTAAATATAAAGATAGGTTAATGCTCATGTTTGCATAGGAAATTTCTGGAAAGATAGAAAAAGAAATGCTCATGATCATTTTCTCTGGAGTAACAGGATAGAAGGAAGAGATTCCAGACGATCCATAGTTGCTTCCCTCACAGTGAAAATACACATCCTCTCCAAGAGCATGTGGGATGTTTACCATGGTCGACATATTCCAGACCATAAAGCAAGTTCCAGCTGAAGTAGAAGTCAAGTCATCAGAATCTGCCCTCTGACAGCAGCAGAATTAGTAAATCAATAAAGATGCTTCCAGAGAATTCTCAAATATTTGGGTGCTAAATGACACATTTCTATGTAAACTGTAGGTCAAAGAAGAAATCAAAAAGAACATAAAAAATACTTTGAGTGAAAATAAAAGCATAATGTATCAAATTTTATGGAATGTCATTAAAGCAATTAATGAAGGGAAATTTGCAGCAGTAAACGCCTCAGTTCAGAAAGAAGAGCCGCAGACGGAAGGCCTTGGTGTCTGTCTTTTAAATTCTTATTTATACATTTTATTTTATGTATATGAGCGTCTGCATGTATGAAAGTGCACCACGTGCGTGCAGTGCCTGTGGACACCAGAAGTGGGCATTGGGGTCCGCTGGAACTGCAGTTACACGTGTTTGTTAGCCACCATCTAAGTGCTGGGAACTGAACCTGGGTCCTCTGCAAGAGCAGCCAGCATCTTCTATCTTAAGAAACTCACAAAAGAAGACAAATTAAACCCAAAGTAGGGAGAAGAATGGAAAGAACAGACCAGAAAGGGGAGCGATTACTTCACCGTGACTCTCACCAGAACTGGGAACACTGTCCCTGAGTCCACAACTTAGATGAAATGCAGGTTCCTTGTAGGACAGAAACTACACCAGCTCACACAGAAGAAACTGATCACCTAGGCAGGTGTGGCTCTATCAAACAAGCTAAGTTTGTTAAAAATCAAAACGGAGCTGGGCTTGGTGGCCGCACGCCTTTTGAGCCCATCACTCTGGAGGCAGAGGCAGGCGGATCTCTGTGAGTTCAAGGCCAGCCTGGTCTACATAGTGAGTTCCAGGACAGGTGGGGCTACAGGAAGACCCTGTCTCAAAAAAAATAAGAAATAAGAATCTGAGCTTAGCAGTTCTTTCTCCTGAAGGTTTTTGCTAGCTAGTCCTGGGAATCTCCAAGACTGGGTCCCCAAAACATTAGCAGGTGGGCGAATGGCTGCCATCACAACTGCTGTGACCACAGCTTCTTTTTTTTATGCCCTTGGTCTGCAAAAGAGTTTTATAAATATTAAGTCAGCCTGGCTTGGTGGCGCACACCTTTAATCCCAGCACTGGGGAGGCAGAGACAGATGGATCTCTATAAGTTCAAGGCCAGCCTGGTCTACATAGGGAGTACCGGGCCAGCTGGAGCTACAGGAAGACCCTGTCTCAAAAATAAATAAACATTAAATAAACAAAGTTGAGTCCCTTGGAGTTTGGAGGGAAATAGTCCTTCAGGGTAAGAAAAAGAACCTAGTCTATTACCAAGTAGATTTTCAGACAAAGGAAACTTTCCTTCCAACATGACCTGAAAACTGGAGGGAGGGTGGGGTGGGGCGAGCTGGACACATTTGGAAGCTAAATCAAGCAACTGCAAAGTTAAAAAGTGGGACAAGATGTTCCCTGAGGGTCCAAGCTGGTTCACTGTCCTGTGGCTCTATAATGACAAGAATGGGCCCAATTATAGTCACTAATTTGTAGGGACAGCAGTCAAGTTAAGCCACCTCACTAAGCCACACACACACATCCATGTTCCTCTGCAGGATGCTGTTGAAACTAGATCTTGTAGTCCATTTTTTCATTGTAATAACACAATCTGTGAGACTGCATTGTAAAGAAGAGAGGTTTTCCTAGCTCACAGTTTTGGAGGGACCCAGGCTCCCAGTTGACCTAAGGACTTCCCACTAGGCCCACCTCTGGAAGGTTCTGCCACTGCCACTCTGGGAATTCAGCCCCCAGTGTATGGACTTAGGGGCTAGGGGCTAAGCCATACCCACCTGGAGCAGAAGTGCTGGGTGCTCAGTTCCCTCTGAGCACATCTTTTTGTTCTTCTGTTTTCTCAGGGGTTCTCAAACCATCTGTACAGAGCTGCCCGGTTATCAGAGCTGCCCGGTTATCAGAGCTGCCCTCCATCCCTTCCTCCAGATCTCTGAACAGATGTTCCTGGCCTAGGAGGCCTTCCCTGACAGAGCCCTCCAATAATATGTCCCACCCGACACTCGACATATGTGCTTGCTTATATGTCTAATGTCCCTCCCATCTTGCTAGAATTGTTTTATGTGTGTATGTGTATGTAGACCAGGTGGCCACCTTGGGCATCATCTTCAAAAGCACCATCCACCTCCTTTGAGACAGGGTCTTGTGCCCATCAGTCAGGCTGGACTGACAGCCAGTGAGCCCCAGGGATCCACCTGTGTCTGCCTCCCCATCACTGAGATTACAGTGTGTACCACCACACCCAGCTTTTCACATAAATGTTGGGGACTGAACTCAGGTGCTCCTCAAATGACAGGCGTTTTATCAATTGAGTTATACTCCCCAGCCCTTGCTATAGCTTTTAATGTCGTGAGCCTCAAGACAGGCCACAGAGCCTGGAATAGGGATGCTTCACAGCTATCTGTTGGCTGGGGATAAGGTCATAAATGGTATGGATGGCAGGTGAACAGTAATTTAATCCTGTGACCTTGGCCTCCAGCACTGTCTTTTAGGGTCTCTTGCTTTTGGGTTGCCCAGGACTGTGCGATATTTCCAGGAAGAGACTCCTGGCAAAGCCTCTGACCTGTGCACTGTCCCCTCTCCTGCCCAGGTGAATACAGTACACACAACGGGCCCTCCACACCGGCAAAAGAGGGTGACACAGACAGGTCACATCGGGCCTCAGATGGGAAACTGCGTGGACGGTCAAAGAGGAACAGTGACCCTTCCCCAGCAGGGGACAATGAGATTGAGGTAAGTTCACTGATCTCTGTCTGGGGCCTGGTCACTGCTGGAGGCCTATTGCACTTTGTAAACCCAGTTCAGTGACTGAGCTCCACTACTCTGGGAGAATGTTGGGGAGAATAGACTACACAGAGCCCTGGTGAATGACCAGGCTGGGGAAGAACAGCCTTAGAGCCAGTGTGGAGAGCTCTGCAGCCCCTGCCTTGGCTAGGAGGTGGAAAGACATTTTTCCATGACACCGAGGAGGCGGCGGGAGGGTTAAGGTGTGGAAATTAGGGATCACAAGGTGATATTATTCTGGAAACACCTGCCTGTCCGTCCTCAAGTACCAGAGGGTGAAAACAGGCCTAAGGTGTGAGTCCTGCCTTGCTCCTGAGCTCAGTGTCAGCACACAGGGCCAGTCCTCTCACACCTCTTAAGTCTTTGGCAGTTTCCTTAATGACAAAGCCCAGGAGAGAGGCCTCATGTGGAACTGGAAGTTCTGTGTGTGTGTTAGCTGAAATCCTTCGACTACAAGTTCCAGAAACCAGCTCAAGCTGGCTTATGTACAAAAGCAGAATTGATTTGACTGACACAGAGCCATCTTAGAACTCAAGGCAAGAGGGGAAGCAGAGCTTCAGAGAGGACATGGGACCAGCCTGGGCGATGAAGACAAGGAGTCAAGGTTGGGCCTCCCCTCCCTATGTTGTGAAGGAGCTGGGAACCCCCCACAGTGCCTTTGCAACACTCCTGCCCCTCAGGGCTCCTCAGACCATGCTAACCTCACCCTGCTCTCCACTGAAGGCAAGACCTGGGGAAAAGCTGGGGTTCTCTCCCTCTGCGGGAGGCCTGCTCTGCCCCTCAAGCCACATTGTCACCAACAGCCCCACTAAGACAATGACTTTGGAGGGTAGAGAGATGGTGTGCTGGATAGCTTTAGTGTCAACTTGACACACCTGGGTTGAGGGAGCCTCAGTTGGAGAATTGCCTCTATTGGACTGGCCTGTGGCCATGTCTGAG